AAGATTCTCTTTTTACTAGTATATGTGAATATGTGTACTTATTTATTTAATATATGTTCATTTGATACATCTATAATAAAATCAGAATTGAATTTAGAGAATTAATGAAACCAAGAACCATACAATTGGTCCAAGAATAAAGCATGAATTTTATTCTCTTTTATTTATGCTTTTGTCTATTTTTTTATTGGTCATAATCTCCATAATGACACAGTATATCCCATTAAATTATATCGAAATGTTTTAGCTGTTTTTTGCTTTTCATTTTTTAACCCAAGTGTCTGACTATAAATAATTTTCTACTTGAATGTGTTATATTTTTAATAAGTTCTTTTAAAAAATACAAATTGTTTGAGGCATGCTTGCCTAGAGTTTTGCTTTTCAAATAAAGATAGTTTTGAGTGGGACAATTTCAATAATTGTCCCAGGACAGCAGGCTTAATTACAGTGTGATGGTCCCATGCCAACCGGGACATATGTGCATCCTCAAGTATATGCCCCACCACTTGCCTTGGTACCTAAAATTTCTACCATTACAATGTTGTTTCAGATGAGAAGATTCTGAGTCCAGGAATCCCCTTTCTGAATTATAGATAAATTAATGAGAATATTAATACATTAATCTATCATCAGTCATTAACAGTTCAGCAGAAAATAGTTAGTTGACCTGGTCCAGAGATGGCTTTAGACCAGGAGGCAGCAAACTTTTTCTATAAAGGGTCAGCTAGTAAACATTTTAGGCTCTGTGACCCTTATGGTGTCTGTTGTAACTACTCAACTCTACTGTTCCAGCAGAAAGCCGCCGCAGACAATATTTAAGTTAATGAGTGGGCTCTGTTAAAATAAAACTTTGTTTATAAAGTTGTAAAGATCTTATCTGGCTTATAGTCAGCTGTGAGTTTGTCTTCACGGTTTCATTGCTCTGCTTGTGTTCTACCGCTCTCTAGGTGGGGCTCCAGCCTGCTGCTCTCTTCTTCTTATCTTGTTTGCTGTCAGCTTATAGGCCCTTAAATGTTGTATTTCTCTTGCCCTCCATTCCAGATTCCCTTACCATACCCCTGGAAAATACTCTTTTACGCAATTTAATGGCCCATAATAGCTTTATTCAACTGTAATTAGTTTTACATAAGCAAATTTATTTCATATGTAAAAATATTTTTATACACATTCATACATTTTTCAAATATGTAAGTACTTCATTTTCTGTTTGTTTATACTTTTACTCAATTACCAAAAGCATTTAAGGCACCTTTCAGCAAAAATACAAGAATTCATGGTGGATAAATATTTTCTGAGTGTTTGTTATGTGCCAGACATATAACAGAATGAAAGGCAAATTTCCAATAGAAAGGGAGAAAGAGAAAGTAGATGTAAGCAAAACCAAACCAAATCAACAAAGTCAAAACCAAATTATGCTGCAAAGAGATAAAACTTTGAACCTAAAGCTTTGCTCTGAGCTTCCCAACAACCAAAGTAAAAGAAAAAATTTAATAAATTTTTATGATTCCTTTGGTTTAGTAAAAGGAATCACATCAACTGATCAAGAAATTTTTCCTGACCCTTAATTTTAAACTTTTTCCCTTTAAAATATTAATTCTTTAAAGGTTAGAGACCTTATTCACTATTTCTTTGGTATCTGTTTATGCTATCCAGTACTTGGTACACACTGGATAATAAATATTTAACCAAAGACCAGTCAACATTCGTATTATCCTTATTTTTCTTCTAAAGACACAGGGACTTAAGATTTATCATACAAGGTGCAAGATTAGAGAACATAGTCTCCAATACTGCCCTCACCTCTGCCACCAATTACAAATTCAGGGGTTCCAAAGACCACTCTTAGCCTCAATAATTTGCTAGACGTGCTCACAGAACTCACTGAAAGCTATTATATTCATGGTTATGGTTTATTATAGGAAAGGATACAGATTAAAATCAGCCAAATGAGAGACCCATGGACAGAGTCTAGGAGGGTTCAAAAAGTGGAGCTTCCAGTTGTCCTCTCTCTGTGGGGTCATGGAGAGCATTTACTTCTCCCAGCAATGATGTATGATAATGTGCATGAAGTGTTGCCAACCAGACAAGTTACCTAAGCCTTGGCATCCAGAGTCTTTTTGGGGCTTGATAACCAAAAGCTAGTTGGCCACCCACATAGTTGACCTCAGTCTCCATCCTTTCCAGAGATCAACTGATGCCACATGACCCAAAGCCCCCACCCTAAACCACATTGTTGGTGTGGCTTAAAGCCCCCTCTAAATTACATAGTTACTATCTGGGTGGCCCAGGGCTCCCAAATAAATAAAGACACTTTTATCAAGGCTGGACATGCCAAGGGCTTAGAGGTTACATCGCAGGAGCCAAGGGCAAAGGCTAGACCTTTCTTTGGATAAGGTTAATTCTTTACTATGCACAAGGAATACCATGGTTCATGAATCCACTGTCTAACTTTGATGAGGACACCATGGGCTGGTTTATTGGAGGACACAACTGGTACTTTCCGTGGTATAGAGTGCTGAAATTGAAAGATGTGTAATCCTTGACTTTCCCTTTAATCATTAGACATGAATTTAGAAAATAAAACAAACATATAAAATAAAACAAAATATTTGGTCCTGGTTTTCTTTTCAGCATGATTTATGTTGGAGTAAAAAGTTCTAACATTTTCGAAAAGAGTGTTTCTTCCTTTTGGTCGTTTTAATAGTTCTTCTTTCACATTTCAAGAGTCCAAACATTCTGACATTTCATCAAGAGATACTTGTTTATCTTATCCATTCTCTTCGTGAATGGAGATCTATAAGTTTTATAGCTTTACAATTCCAAGATTTTCTATTCCATTTCTTGTAATCTGTCATCCCTCAGAAACTTAAACAAATTCTTTTTAAGATCTTTATTCTCTTTTAATCTCTGGACATTTCCCAGGTTTGCTTTCGTAAGGTATGGAAAGCAGAAGTTCGCTTACTATTCCAGGGAGCACTAGTTTTGAGGAGCCAGGGCAAATCAAGCTCCACACCCTAAAGTACGCTCCGTGCATGCAGGGATTTTTTTTTCTTTTATTTTCACATGTGTCACCCCAGTGCCTACTGCACTAGTTGACACAGACACTCAGTACGAATTTGTTGTATCAAAGAACAGTTTTCAAAAAGTTAAAAACCTAACCCTTGCACAAATCTTAAGTGAGCATATATCAAAGATTTATTCTACTCAATAAGAGAAACCAGCAAGGTGGTCAAGTCACTTCTAAAACAGGCACTGAAAGAATGCTGACATAAGATTGATTGGTTAGATTTTAAAAATGGGTACTATCATCCAGTACAATGGCTTAAAGACTAGAGCTGCTGACCAGTACCTCTACATGTAGCCTCTCTATATGATTTGGCTACCTTTCAGCATAGTGACCCTAGGGTGGTTGGACTTCTTACATGGTGGCTCAGGGCTCCAGGGACAAGTATTCCATCGATAAGGCAGAGCTGCGTTGCCTTTTATGACACTCTCAGAAGGCATATAGCATCTCTTCTGTATACTCTCTTGGTCAAAGTGGTCAGAAGCCCACCTAGATTCAAGGGGAGGGAACACAGACCCTGCCACTTGGTAGGAGAGGGCAGGGTCATATTGTAGAGAAGAATGTGGGATAGGAGTTATTGTTGTGGCCATCTTTGGAAAGTAAAACTTGCCACAATAAGTGATTTTGTATAGACTTATTTCACATTAGAATATGAAATAAAGTATATTCTATGGTTGTCAGGGTAATTCCTTGCAGTTGAGCTATTGTCATTGCCTTGCGTTCAGCTAGCAACACACAATTTTCTTTGCGATGGGGTTTTCTTTTCTTTTATCTTTTCCTAATGTTGCATTTTCTTAGTTTGGGTTCATTACCTCACTGATAAAGCTGTTTTAATATTTAATCTATCCCCAGTTTCCAAATCGTTTTCTCAGGTGCCCATCAATTCCTTGTAAGTGGTTAATTTGAAAGGCCTTTGAAGCATGCCTGTATCTGGCTAAAGCAAATCTAAATGTCAACCTTGGAAGCATCCAGTGACATTCAGATGACTCTTTTCAGTACAAGGGACTTATTTTTCTTTCATCTGGTATATTTTGTCAAAAGAGGGCCAGAAATAGTGCCTTTCCCACTCAACATTTTTAGTGTTGTTCAAAGCACTGGTACTCTTGAGTCATGCAGACTTGCTTTAATCCCAGTTGCCCCATTTAGTTGTATAAAACTGAGGAAGTTTCTTAAAAATTATGGGTTAGTTTCCTCACTTATATACTGAGGATAAAAATCCCTGCTTTACAGAGTTGCAGTAAAGAAATTAGATAAAGAACCTTCTGATATAGGGCCTGGTTTGTACTAAGAACTCAATAGTAATAAAAAAACTACCTTCACATTTTCTGTGCCCATAATTTCCCTTTCAACATAATAAGTCTTGGTCAGGCTCTTGCATTGGGTGTGCTGGTTTCACTGGATGGGTGAGGAAGGAAGTGTCCACATTAGGGATGATCTTTCAAGAAGATGGCTTCCTCTTCTCTACCCTTTGGAAGGTGGCAGCAAATGGTTCACCTGAGAACAATGATAATCCAGGGAAGGTAACTTCAGGAGCCTGGAATAGATGGAGGGCCTCCTTCTTGATGGGTGTTTTGTCTCTACCTGGTTCTCCTTGGATGGTGATGTGGTTGTTAAAAGGACAGTAAAAAAAAATTGTATTCAAATGAGATGTCCCTTTGCCTGACCACCATGGGACAATTCACACCTCATTGTAAAAATATATACAAATTTAGTAAAATGCATCAAAATTTTGGCAATGTATGCCATTTAACAAGTAAAAGACAAAATGCAAGACATAATTTTCTTCTTCTGTCCCTTGGGATTTCTCCACTTAAAATCTCTCTTTAAACTTCAATTATCATAATAGTCGTTATAAAGATGAAAAATGTTTATTGCATTTTTTTAAACTGTGAGAAAGCGTTAATTGACTTGGATTTATTGTCTTTCTGTGTGGCAGGTGGTGAAGTTTACCAAATCCTTTGAATTGATGTCCCCAAAGTGCAGTGGCGATGCCGAGAACAGGTAGGGCTTGTGAGTTTCAAGTTTGTCTATCGATCCTTATTTTCAGTCCTTGATGTTGGCAACATTGCATAATTCTGAGGATAGGAGTTGTTCTTTCTTTCTTTCTTTCTTTTTAATGGTTATTGAGGTCACATTGGTTTATAACATTGTGTAAATTTCAGGTGTCTATTATTATATTTCTGCTTCTGTATAGACTGCTTTGTGTTCACCACCAATAGTCTAGTTTTTATCTGTCACCGTACATATGTGCCCCGTTACCCCTTTCGCCCTCCCTCCACCTGAGTTGTTCTTTCTTTATATCAGCAGGTACAGCCACATGTCATCACTCTTCAGTATTTCAGGGCTTAAATAAAAACTACAGCTTAAAAATACATGTATTTACATCTAAAACTGCTTACTAATGAAGTCAATTTTTAGATATTGCCTAACTACACAGACAACCTAATTTTCTTCCTTATTCTGGCCTTTGTTTCTCTTTCTCCCTTTTGTTTACTTATATTTGGCCAATAACATCCCCTTGGGAAAAAGAGTGAGAGTTTTCAGTAATTCACTTTTTGTCCCCATTGATATCTTTGAGGCTATAACAGGGGACAAGTGAGAGATGGGGACAATCAGTGAATTTCTTTTAGCTTTGCACTTCCCTGAATAATAGCTGGACTGCTACAAAAAGGAGTTCTCTTTACTTTGGTCACCTCTAGAGGAAGGGCTAAGGAATAGTAAAATGGACCAAAATGCAGAAATATGCAGAAAGACAAGTAAAGTGCTTAGGCTAGCCTGATGATACCAATGCCAGCAAGATAAGTAACTTCCATTCATTGAGTGCTAAGTGTGCCAGGCACTATTCTAAATGCTTTCTATGCATTTAACCCCCCAAATAATCCTATGAAGTAGGCATCTTTACCCCTGCATGACAGAGGAGAAAACCAAGGTTCAGCAGCTTTGTGTAACTTGTTCAAGGCCCTGCAGCCAGTAAGTGGTAGCCATGTCCAAAGACAAGATCACCTAGATAAGACTCTCCCAATCTCTGAACTTTGATTCCATCACCACACATAATTTACAATCTGGTAGTTGATCTCATATAGTGAATATCTGTTGGGTTAATGTTTCCCAAATCTGGCTGGTCAGTCAGAATAACGCTTGGAGGACCTGCTGAAAACTAAATTCTTAGGACCCACACTGATTGATTTTTGATTCAATACTTCAAAAGTGAAGTCCTAAAGATCTCTTTATTCAAAAGGTTCAAGGGGAAGTTGATTTTATGCATCTATTATTGCCTTTAAGTTTAGGAAATAGAAATCAGTAAATTAAAATGGACACTTTAGTTACTTCACTTTTTATCAAGTGCATGAAGTTAAAAAGAGACCTTTGCTACATGCTGTATAATCCCATTTATAGGGCATTCTTAAAGAGGCAAAATTACGGGAACATCAAGCACGTCAGTAGTTGCCAGGGGCTGGAGCTGGAGAGGGAGTTTGCTACAAGCGGTTCCGGGGGAATTTTGGGTTGCGATAGAACTGCTCTATGTCTTGCTTGTGGTGGTGGTCATACAGCTGTATTTGTCGAAACTTGCAGAACTTTATACTAAAAAGGATAAATTTTATTGTCTGTAAATTATACCTTAAAATGGGAAAAAAGGCCTTTTGTAAACATTTTTTATTTTCATGAAAATATGTTTATGTCCACATCTATATTTAACGTCAGCTAATTTACATCTAACACAGATATTTAGACAGAGAGATTTACTAGTGGGGTACTCAACAATTTTCCCAAAAATTCCATGTAAAATAACATGAAATACATTAGAAAAAATATCCATGCTTACTCTTTTTGCTAGTCAAGCCTCATATAAGTTCCCTCTCTCATATGTGAGGGGAAAAGCTTTATGGAGTTATTAAAACACAATGTTTGAAATCCTGATGCTTCAATACTGTTGTTGTTGTTTTTAATACTGATGAATGTGTCCTCATGGTCACTGTAGAGTTAAATATTTCTGGTATTTTGATTATTTTTAATGCTGAAAGAACTTCCATGTCAAAATGAAATGACCCAAGGCCCCGACTGCCCTTGGAAAACTTTCTGATAACAAAGAAAGAAAGAAAGGTCAGTTTTTCTTTAAAGAGACATTTGAAACGTGCCTTTGAACTTTGACATTATGCGATAGTACTCTCCATCATTCCATTTGTGGCCTTTAGATTAATGTAGAGTGTTCATTTATCTCAGAAGACCTTTCGTGCATCGTCTAGTAATTTTCCTCTTGTAGATGTGGGATCCTTCAGCCAATTACTGAAAGTTAAAAAAATAAAGACAAGTGACTCTAGCATTTACTTCGCCAGTGGCCATGAGAGACATTGAAACAGGCTACGAGTCTACAAATCACAGCCTGTTCTCAACACGTTGTAAATCTTTCCTTTAACCTTTCATCACTTAACATCTTCACTGTAGATAATGTCCATTCGATACCTTAGTCCTCTGGACATCATTCAGCGTTATAATAGGATAGCTTTTGAAGATAATGTCTGTGGCTTCATGTAACAGTGTTTCAGGGTACTGTTTCAATTCTGATGAATTCTGGTTTAAGGCTTGCTGCTTTTTATATACAGTCCTTGAAGACTTTTTTTAAAAAACAGTTTGGTTGCTGACTCATCATTTCTGCTTATTGTCTTATGTAGCTAACTCCTTTGTCATGACCAGTCTTCTCTTGGTCTCCATGTAATTATACCAAGCACTTTGAGAGTTGGAAATTATTTGATCCATCTCTCTCCATGAGGTGTGTACCTCCTCTGGGATGTCCTTGACAACTCCTCCAGTGGTAAGACTCTCACTGTGTCATGATGGGCTTCGTCCACTGATAGGGAATTCTGTTAGGAAGGCATTTCATGTTGAATTACATTCCTATAACTTTCACTTATTTGTCTAAATTTGTCCATTGGAGATAATTATTGCTTGATTAACTTTATTTCTTCATTCAGTAGCCATATATTCAGTATCTACTTTGTGCTGGGCGCTCTGATAAGTAATGGGGTTACAGAGATTTTAAAAATCAGCAGTCTCGGGGCTGGCCCCGTGGCCGAGCGGTTAAGTTCGTGCACTCTGCTGCATGTGGCCCAGTGTTTCGTTGGTTCGAATCCTGGGCGCGGACATGGCACTGCTCATCAAACCACGCTGAGGCAGCGTCCCACATGCCACAACTAGAAGGACCCACAACGAGAAATATACAACTATGTACTGGGGGGCTTTGGGGAGAAAAAGGAAAAAAATAAAATCTTTAAAAAAAAAAAAAATCAGCAGTCTCTGCCCTCAAGGATCTCAAGGCCAATAAACAGGGGTAGCAGTGGGCTAAGAATATAATATAACCAGACCAAATTTCACCAAGCCTCCAGATATGGCTACAAATGGAGTCTCATTAACAATGATAATTTGTATTTGGCTGCTTGGTTATTTTTCCTTTGTCATGTAAGATCTCCAACCCCTTGCAAAAGTCAATATTAAAAAAGTTCTGGGAGTCCCCAAGATTTTTTTTTAAACCAGTCTCATTGCTGACTCATCATTTCTTCGAAGTTCTCACCCCTGAATCCTCTCCCTTTAGATGTCACAGAGCAGCATCTCCTGGGCATGGGCTTCCTTGCTGATTCTAGAATTCCCATGGGCACAACTGGACTCCTCACCAGTGCTCTGTCACAGCTCCCCAGGCACTGTCTGAGATGCACTGGCGGCCTTTCCAAACGTGAGCCAGGCTGGGTAATTTGTGCAGCAATGGGAATAAAGTTCACGTTCCCTACCATATGTTATAGTTTGTTGCCTGACCCCTAAAGAGCCCTGAAGGTACCCTATTTTTTTTTATTTTTAAAATTTTTTTTTCATTTTTTTGTTAAGGTTATAAAAGTTAACATCCTTGTGAAGTTACAGTTGTACATCATTATTAGTCATGTTGTAGGTACACCATTCACCCCTAGTGCCCTCCCCCCGCCCCCCTTTCCCCTGTCAACCACCGATCAGTTCTCTTTGTCCATGTGTTAACTACCACCTATGAGTGGAGTCATACAGAATTCATCTTTTTCTGTCTGGCTTATTTCACTCAACATAATACCCTCAAGGTCTATCCATGTTGTTGTGAATGGGATGACTTTGTCCTTCTTTATGGCTGAGTAGTATTCCATTGTTTATATATACCACATCTTCTTTATCCAATCATCAGTTGCTGGGCACTTAGGTTGGTTCCATGACTTGGCTATTGTGAATAATGCTGTGATGAACACAGGGGTGCATGGAACTTTTGGAATTACTGATTTCAGGTTCTTGGGATAGATACCCACTAGTGGGATGGCTGGGTCATAAGGCATTTCTATTCTTAACTTTTTGAGGAATCTCCATACTGTTTTCCATAGTGGCTGCACCAGTTTGCATTCCCACAACAGTGTATAAGGGTTCCTTTTTCTCCACGGCCTCTCCAACATTTGTCACTCTTGGTTTTGGATATTTTTGCCATTCTAACAGGTGTAAGGTGATATCTTAGTGTAGTTTTGATTTGCATTTCCCTGATGATTAGTGATGACCCCAGACTTAGGGCCAGTCGCAAAGTTGTTCTTTTCCTTTCCCCACCTTTCTTCCATCTGAGCCACGAGGCTCAAATGCTCAAAACCTCTTCCTCACAGTCCCCTTCCTTTCACGTACATCAACTCGTGCAAATAAGTGCCCCTCCCATGTACAGATGTGTCTCAGTTTAGGCTCATATATCCTAGTCTCAAGTAAATCAATGACTGCAGAGCAATTCAATACTCTATAGAAGGTTCGTACAAGGTAGTATTTTAATACAGAGGAGGGACACCCTCCTAATCTGAGGAGAGATGAAAAGTCATCCTCAGGGAAAGTTTTCAGAGGGGATAAGGCTTCAGTTAGCTCCTGTAGGATGATGTGAAGTCAGTGACACAACTACCTTCCAGGGAGAGGAAACATTGTCAGCAGAGGCATGGTGGTAAGAGAGTGAACGTGGCATGTTTCAG